AATAACAGAGACTCAGTTTGAAATTAACCTTCATGTGACAGCATAGTCCCATGACTGCTTATTAATTAACATAAAGAAATTAAAAATATAAAAACTTAAGATGGGCTTGATTGGGAGGAGATGAACAACTCCAATTGTATATTAAAACTTAAAAATGAGGGTTCTTAGAGCAGATGTGGGGAATCAGAGGTCCCGCATTTCGAGCCCAATTTGGATTAAAAAAACCTACAGACAGAAAACACAAACCCACCCATGGGCACCGTCTGAACCCCAGTACCCAACTGCACAATCCGAGACTTTACTCAAGCCTGTAACCGTCGGGAAACCGGAACGCCTCTGCTGCGGCCTATTGGAGGGGAGACTGGGAGAAGCGGCCATTCTCCTTGATTCCAGACCCCGGGCCCGTTCTCACTGCTATCCTTCCCCCTTCCCCCTTGGACCGGTGGGGGTTATCCCGGTCCTCACGGGCATATCGTATGCGATTCATGCTGTACTTACCTACGCTTTCTGGTTGCAGAAGAGCTGAATTCTGACCACGCGGCTCAGGCAAAATGGCGGCAGTCCCCTCCACTGTACAAGGAGCACTGGGCCTGCCTAAACCACCTCACCCCGGGTCTCTGGAGCACACACTACACAAGCTCGACTAAATATTGTGGAGCTTTTGCACACGTATACATGAACGGGCACAAGCTGCAATCACGGATCATAGTGCAGCCAGCATGGGAACCATCCTAACAAAACCGAACAGCCCTCCTCAAGGCAAACATGCAACACCATCACCGGTTCAACTCAATACTTGCCCTTGAGTGCCGAGACCTCCCAAAGACAATGCCTCAGCAACTTCACCGCAAAAGTGGAAGACAGCCCACCGCTGACGGTCCTTAATGACTAGACCCCCTACTATCCCCAGACGGCGCAGGGACTCGGCTCCTGGGAACACCCAAACACGAGGATCAGGGATGCAAGCCCCCACTAAAGCTGGGAGTTGGAGGAGAGCCCTGCATAGGCACAACCCTGCAGCGGCCCACCCGGTCGCAGAACGGATCCTTGCTCCCGAGCTGCGGGCCTCAAGATCTGGCGTTGGCTGAGTAGCTAACATAAACTGGCTACCTAGGTCCCACACCCACTATAAGCTTCATCGGGACACCTGTTGCTCTTACCCACTCTGCCTCCATGCTTAATTCCTGACTGCTAAGGACTCTTTCATGCGGATGAGCAAGGTTTTCGTTGATTTCTATTATTTAGCACCTATTGATTTTTCCCCTATGTCTGCCTCATTTCTGCAGCTTTGCAATAAGTGCTTTGTCAACTCGTGTGTAGCCCACTGACTTCATAACCCAGTATCTTGTTAGCCATAAGAGTGCAGCGAGTGCATCCTACCATTTTGTTTGCCAACTCAGTAATGCAAAATGTGTACCTAACCTATCTTAACTATGATTTAAGTTTTTTTGCTTTCATTTTCTTTTCACAAGCCTGCAGTCAGACAGCGAACTGCAGACTCAATCTAAACACCCAGACAGATAAGCGAGACTAGTCAGTAAAAGCTTGTATGTTCTCCATTGTTTTATAATGAGCTTACTAACTTAGCAAAAATAACTAAACGGTTGGAACAAACAATGTATATGCCTTAATAATTTTGACCTTGCCTATTAATCTTGTTATCGAGCAACCTATACTAAGCGAGGCCTTTACCATCACTTGTTTTGTACCTGCATCTACCTTCAGTCCTGTAACCTCTAGTTAAACAAGCAAGTCTAGCCTGTGTATTATTATACTTAAAAACTGTGCCACTTTCTCATGCCATAAATATGTTCTACACTGTTATCACTGTTTGCTAATTCTGTTGTGGCATCGTAAACCTATGTATTATCTTGTGCACAGAAAAAATAAAGATTTTTTTTTTAAAAAGAGGGTTCTTCTCAATAAAAAGATAAATATTAGCCTGAAAGAAAAAACAAAGATGGCACCACAGCCCATGTCATGTAATCGGCACGGCTGTGGCAGTGAAGTATATAGAATGTAAACACAACTTGTTAGGACAGGCATAAAGAGAATAGGTGGGGGAACTAAAAATGTGGAAAAACAAGGAGTTTTACAATACAATGTGGCTCCACCAAAATGGCGCCGGAGCTCGAACCCCTAGTCACTCAATAGGGGGACAGGTCTACTTAAGATATATATGGTAGATAGGGGAATGAAATTAGGAAAAGGCTAAAAACGTTAAAAATAAAAGAGTAGCATTGAATATGAGTGGACTAAACCATAACATACATAACCATACATATATACAGACAAGCAGCATATATATGGAGACAGTCGATATATATATATATATATAAAGATGAAAAGAGACATACTAATGTGAAGAGAACAGCACACAGAACCCCAGGAGAGAAATTAGGGCTGGTGGCTATTTCCTAGATAGCGCCTACAGTTGAGCTCCTGAATAGAGGGAATAACCCTAAAATAGGTATAGGTAGAAAGAGATAAGAACCCTCAATAGAAGGGGGTCCTAGGATGACTAAAGTAATAGGGAAGGGGACCCTGCCTTAATTCTTGGGAGTAAAAGGGAAAATAAATAAATATAAAGACTAATTTACAGCCACGAAGGGGGAGAGACTAAATAACACTCAGGGGGGCAGTGGCAATAGAGTCCCACGACAGAAACACATTAAATGTCAAAAGACAGAAAAAATACAGGAACCACAAGGTTGCACATCAATAAAAAATGGGCCCTGGAGCAAATGAAAAAATAAAGCAGGTATAGCAAGAGGTAAAAAGGTAAAAGAATAGTGTAGGAACGTCTAAAGAGCCTCTAGCATAAACCTAGACCAATAAATCGTTCCCTATAAATACCTCGGCACCGTGGAAAAGCCACTAGTACTTACCTAAACACTAAATATACTCGGTATTAAGAGAATAACACAATTATATATACATGTAATATGAAATGAAATGTTAAAATTAATAAATCAAGTTATATATTATCTGTAATAATTTTTATAGTGGGTAATCAAATTAAAGATACCCATCCAAGCCCTAGGGCAACTCTTGGGGGACTGCACAGTTTGGATTGGAGCTTCAAACCAGGTCCACTATATAGGGTGTACATATAAATCCCCACTTATGGATGTATATGTCTTCATATAGTTTTTACCAGCGAGATAGGTGACCATAAGGACCATACAAAGCAGAACAAAAGGAGATCATATAGTGCTCTGTGTACAGATGATTGGGGGAATGATACTTAAATTCTTACTTACAACATTCGGAGCAGTCCAACCGCTCGGAGCAGTTCCTTTTGGCAACTAGACATCTATAATTGTATTGGTGCACACCTTTTTGAAAAAAAGCATGGGTGTTGATTTTACCATTTCAGCTTTTGCCCAATCCCATACTTATCTCCTTCATTCCACGTGAGTTGCCAATCTCACATTTGAGCATTGTGTGTGTTTCATCTGTTCATGACGTATTGCACTATTGGACCCTTTTTATCTTCTGTTCTTTTCAAATGTATCTGCGAATCCAAGTCACGATACAGAATTCGATCTCACATTTTGAAAGAGAAGAAAGTTAATTACAACTGGGACTGTCTGCAAACAATTGTATATTTTATATATTTGTACTTATCTTTGTCTTTCTGTACTGTTTTCTGGTGTAAAGTGCTCCTCACTATTATACTATTGTTTATTGTTCTATTAATTATGGCGTGTTTCATAATTTGGCGCAACCTATATTTTTTGTTTCATTTTTGTATTTCTTTTTTTGCGGGTCTTTGATGTAGTCCCCTTACCCTAGTTTTGCTGCTTTTGTTTCACTTCTTTTGTTCAGTTATTCAACGCTTATCCATTTTTTGCTGCTATCTATAAAATTGCCACTTCATCTCTCTTCTTCCTAAGAGTTTTGTAATATTACCTTCTCGCCAGTGTTTTTTTAAAAATAACTAATAAATTCAGTGAGCTTTGAAATTTCTGTTTAGTGGAAGAGGGAGAGTGCTGGATCTGGTTTGTTGTATGAATTGGCCCTGCAATGTAACTTTTGTCTGACACAAGGCTGGCCCATCCATAGAACCAGGTGGGGCCATCGCTCCAGGCAGTGTATTTCCCTTCATTAACCAAGGCTGCAGGGACCCGAAACCGAATATATATATATATATGTACTCGGGCTTCAAAATGCCACCCCTGTGAAAGTGCTGCATGGAGTCATGGCCCCCAGGAAATTAATTTTACCCTCCTCCATTGCCTGCTCACCTCTCACAGTAAACGTATTCAATACCACACTACATGCACTATACACACACACAGTGGCAGAACTACCGAGGTCAAAGGGGTCTCAGCTGTATAACCGGTACAACTGCCGGGTCCGCGCATTCAGGGCCCCATCGGTACCGATGGCAATTCATATTCAGGGGGCCCGGTCAGCACTGCGGTGCTTTGTGATAATGTCTAGGCAAAAATAATGAGGGTTTAGTTACAGTAGATGCAGGGGAGTACATAGAGCATTTGGCACACGGGGCGGATTCTGTGTTTGCCCCCTCTATCCTCCTCTCCGACTCCCCTATTAGTACACCACTGAGTATATGATCATACATTGCATAAGCCTGCCACAACGTCAATGTACCCCATTCTTGGCAGGTCCTACTCTAGCAGCCTAATGCCTGCTCGTATGATATAAACCCTGGGATTCTCTGCAGTGCATGGCTAAATACGGCCATGGAATGAGGCACCTGTGACCGGGAGGGGTGCACAGGGGCAAACCCCAAAAAGTTAGCTGTGTTTTATGTATGAAATATTTTTATGTTATTGAGATTAATTTGTAACAAGCAATATTACGACATCTGTAGCAGGTATCCTGCCTGCACAGGCTTCAGTTATTTTGCTGTTAACTATTCTTGTTATTAAGATGCACGATCAAATAGAGCTGCGGGGCCTTTAATCAGTACACGTTGCCAAAGTTAATGTTTAGAGCTGGATAATGTATTGTTTTATTACGGGAAACATCCCTCCCAGAGGAATCAAATGCCCCACCTTTCTTTCCAGACTCCTTCTCTATAACATCCAAAGACCTTGTACAGTTCTTTATTAATTCCAGGGCTGTCTGTATCAGAACCAAGGCACTCCCTTTCCAAAGAAACCGTAAGTGAATACACAAAGAGAACTGTGTATGATCAATATCATATCATTTTGTTTTATATAGGCATAGGTGTTTCAACATTTTAATACATATTACTAGTGACAGTAAATGTTGCATTAACCTGTTATGATTGCTTATTTATAAAGTGCCAAAATATTCTGCGGAGCTGGGCATTGAATCCACAACGCAGACTAATAAAAAAATAATGCTAAAAAAATAAGGGGGGGGGGGTTATAAATTGGGGCACTGTTATGACATGTTTTATAGAGAAGAAGCAGGATTTTAAATTGAATTCTGGAACGTATAGAGAGTCAGTCAGGTGGGGCTGGTCCAAAGGCACAGTTTATGGCTTGCCATGGTTTAACGTTTTTTGACGTAAAATTTGAATATCACTCTAAATTCACCCTGAGGTCCTTGTATTTCACATTTCGTAACCCTGTACTAATTCCACATATTGACTTAGGATCACCAGATGCTCCCTGTTTTGCAGAACAAATACATACATACTGTTAGACAGCACGAGACAGTGCTGCTTTGTTGTATGTGGAATTCATATTCTGCAGAGTAGCAATCTTCATGTGAAGGCTTTCAATATTAAGAAATTATATTTGCCTAGGAACACACTGTGGATATGACTTTTAAAGTTCTGAGTGATAGAATACAATTATCCTCATCCCAATACAAATGAAATCAGTAAAAATGTCATTGAAAAAATGGCTATTGTACATTTTTGTAGTTATTTGTAAGCGTTTTCCTGTTTGTAGTTTGTGTACCTGTATTTGTGTGGAGTCTACCTTTTTAGAAAATTTAACAAAATCCTGCAGTTCCCCTATTGAGTTTGTATGTTTGTGGTTGTATATTGGTGTGTCTCTCTATATATGGGTGTAATTATTTGCATTTGGGTATAAGGAAGAATCAGTGCATTAATGAGTGTAAAATTACGTATTTGTCTCCATGTTTGTATGTATGTGTATCTGTGTCTGTGCAAATGTATGTGTCCATTTTCTAAAGATAAAAACTAAAATAAATCTGGCATTGCCCCTGCCCAAAATTGGGCTGCGGATCTGCTCCTGAAAATAGGATTTTAGTTGTCTGGTAATCTGGCATGTGTGCCATCGTTTCTGCAGTCGCACACAATGCAGTACTGGCACACCTACAGTCCACTCCCATTCCGGCTTCCTAGGTTCTGCATCAATCGTTCTAGTGGAGACATGCTTTTTGGTTTTGTGATAATTTATGTCGGGAGAGGGCAATATACAATTCTGCAAAATCTGAGTACCTATCATGGAAGTTGTTTTATCTGACTATCACTGGTTTAAGCTTTAGACTTGGAGTGAAATTTGTTGGGAAAAAGGCCGGGTTCTGCCTTTTTAAGTTAATTGAATTTACGTTTAAAGATGTACTAATTGATATTATTTAATATCAAAAGAGGATTAACCATAGTTACCCAAGGGAGCTAGATACATGTGAAAACATTCGAAAAGGGTTTGACTACTAACCCTGAGTTGGGACTGGTGCACTCCTCTTAACATAACTAACACACCACATTGCTGTCAATACTGTATGTTGCATAAACTGATACATTAATTATACAATCTAGACCCCAGCTCTTAGCAGTAGCGAACTATACCTTTCCTGTTTAAATACGTTCATTTTATTATTATTCACAAGAACTGCGAGAACTTCAAAAGATATTTGTTTTGTTTTGAAATTGAGTTGTTGCATATCTTGTAATACACTATTTGTTTAAGATGATTACATTTAGAGATGAGATGAGATTACAGTGGAGCTATTTGTTTGACACAGAGCTTCATTGTGCACACCCTAAAACTTGCACTTCTCAAACAATGCCCATTGAACAATTTTGTAAATCCTCTACTTGCTCTTCACAAGGCTTTGCTTGCTATAGTGCCATCTTTCTTTTTAAGATTCTTGTATTGTTTGTATTGTTTTTGAACAGACTGTTTTACAGAAAGGAAGGTTAGTGAAATAATAGCATTAAGTCTTAGAAACATAGAATGTGATGGCAGATAAGAACCATACGGCCCATCTAGTCTGCTCAATTTTCTAAATACTTTCATTAGTCCCTAGTCTTATCTTATAGTTAGGATAGCCTTATGCCTATCCCACGCATGCTTAAACTCCTTTACTGTGTTAACCTCTACCACTTCAGCTGGAAGGCTATTCCATGCATCCACTACCCTCTCAGTAAAGTAATACTTCCTGATATTATTTTTAAACCTTTGTCCCTCTAATTTAAGACTATGTCCTCTTGTTGTGGTAGTTTTTCTTCTTTTAAATATAGTCTCCTCCTTTACTGTGTTGATTCCCTTTATATATTTAAATGTTTCTATCATATCCCCCCTGTCTCGTCTTTCCTCCAAGCTATACATGTTAAGATCCTTTAACCTTTCCTGGTAAGTTTTATCCCGCAATCCATGAACCAGTTTAGTAGCCCTTCTCTGAACCCTCTCTAAGGTATCAATATTCTTCTGAAGATACGGTCTCCAGTACTGTGTACAATACTCCAAGTGAGGTCTCACTAGTGTTCTGTACAATGGCATGAGCACTTCCCTCTTTCATAACATTGGTCTAAACAATTATTGACATGGCACATTACCTCAAAAACAACATTCATTTTTGGTTATTGTTTTCAATACTTTTTGTTACTATTAGGAAACAAAGAAAGAAAACAGAATTGATCTCACCTGTAGATATAATTAAAGGTTAAACAAATCTTGTTTCAAGTCATTTTCTTTAAAATAAAATAAAAATTTAATAATTCTTTCACAGTTTATGAAGCTTTTCTCTACATTCATTCTGAAAGTTCAAAATATTTGAATTAGTGATTTAACCCCTTAAGGACACATGACATGTGTGAAATGTCATGATTCCCTTTTATTCCAGAAGTTTGGTCCTTAAGGGGTTAACAGTCTGGGTTTTATTCACTCAGAATACCAGTACTGAAACGGAAACAAAATGGCAACATTTGGGCTAAAATTGGCTAAACTGTGAGTAAAGCAGACTTGGAATTTGTATTTTTCAAATCAGCTCTTTTCCCCACGTTTGATGTTTCAGTTTTCAATTTAGTGCAAATCTTTATTACATGAATAAACCCCACAGTGATTTCGACAACCTGACTTTTTATTTATTCTAAGCAAACAAATACCAAAAGATTTTATTTTTTAAATTATTGCCGTATGATGATGTGCATCTTATCTTTGTGTTATCTTTGTATTTAATTTTCAGAATTACTGCCTTATAAAAGTGCCCAAGCTGGCATAAAATGTTTTTCAATTATCATTTTTTGGATAAGATCCAAAACCATGACGTTAGTAGTGCAAATCCATTCAGTAAGATGCCCTTCACAAAGCCACGTTGATTCAGCTTGAATCAAAAGGCTTGGGGCACAGAAATAATAAAATAAAATGGAACAATAATGCTTTTTGCATTTTTTTTTAATTTGAAGTAACTAGTTGAACTGAGGAACTTAAAGCAACACTCCAAGCACCATAACCAGCTTACGTGGTTATGGTGCCAAAAATGCACCTGCGTCCCTGCCCAATCAACAATTTAATGCCTTATCTGGGGTCCACCAGCCACCGCTCTTCAGCCCCACTCCCATCTCCCAATCTCCCAAAAGTCAAAAAAATACCCCAGCAAGAACATTCGTTAGCTCTCCTGAACTACTCCCTGCATTGCAGGATTTTATTCCTTGGATGAGTAACTGCAATGCAGGGTTTAGCTCACTAGCTGAGGACTGCAACGCAGGTCTTAGCTCATAGGCAGAACCATACATTCTGGGGAGATGGTACTGGAGACAGGGAACGTGTCTGGCAAAGTCCAGTTGTGCCGTCAAACTGTTAAAAAAAATCCAGTTTGAGTCCTTATAATAGTGGGCACCAGGGAACTCCTGACACCATAGCCACTAAGGCGAATTGTAGTGGTTATGGTGCTTGTAGTTTTACTTTAAATTCTGTTGTAAAAACAAATCCATAGGTGTTTATTCATAAGACAGAAACAGGGTTATTCACTGAACTCTAAATTGTAGCAAACTAATATCTGAAATGCAAAATTCAAATATAAATAGCCAAGGGATTTTAATTCACTACAACTTGGGTTTTAATTAAAACAAAATACTTAAATTGTACTTACAATATTAAAATGTTGTAATAGCACTATTTAAAAAGTAGTAACATTATTTTAATGCACTACAATTTAAAGCTTAATGAAAAGGTTGTGATTACACTGTTAACAATAATAATGTTGTTTTTTTCATTGTTGTTTTTAATATTGTGCCAGGTAGCAGGTGTAGCATAATTGAGCCTAGTCTAGTGTGGATACATTGAGGAAGGAGCTGGGTCTAGAAGTGGCCAGAAATTCGATTCCCGTATTGTTTTTAGAACTACAACTCCCTTGATGCTTTGTCGGCCAGACTGTCTCTACCAAACGCCTCCCACCCAAAGCATCATGATAATTGGCACACTGTCCCTTTAACCACCCCCATGCTCGCTGTGCAGGCTCAGAGTGCGCATGTTACAGTAGGTGGGAATAGAGGATACAGTATCCAGAGTGGCAGAGCTTAGTGTTTACTCACCGTTAGAAAGGAGTCACATTGAAACCTCTGTGAGTATACTGGGTGCCGCTATTCATGGAATGTGGGGATTGGGTGTGACTGTTTATATGGTCACTAAAATAAATTGTGATCAGTGGGGATATGCTGGAATCAGGCTAATGTGTTTATAGAGAACAGTGAGGAGTATATTGACAGCACCAGGAGGGGCTGTCCATGTATAATGTGTTTATACTGAATTAATATATAGAGAGCAGTGAGGAGTATATTGGCAGTATCAGGAGGGGTAATGTGTTTATACTGAATTAATATATAGAGAGCAGTGAGGAGTATATTGGCAGTATCAGGAGGGGTAATGTGATACTGAATTAATATATAGCGAGCAGTGAGGAGTACATTGGCAGTATCAGGATGGGTAATGTGTTTATACTGAATTAATATATAGAGAGCAGTGAGGAGTACATTGGCAGCCTCAGGAGGGGTAAGGTGTTTATACTGAATTAATATATAGAGAGCAGTGAGGAGTATATTGGCAGTATCAGGAGGGGTAATGTGTTTATACTGAATTAATATATAGAGAGCAGCTAGGAGTATATTGGCAGTATCAGGAGGGGTAATGTGTTTATCCTGAATTAATATATAGAGAGCAGTGAGGAGTATATTGGCAGTATCAGGAGGGGTAATGTGTTTATCCTGAATTAATATATAGAGAGCAGTGAGGAGTATATTGGCAGTATCAGGAGGGGTAATGTGTTTATACTGAATTAATATATAGAGAGCAGCTAGGAGTATATTGGCAGTATCAGGAGGGGTAATGTGTTTATACTGAATTAATATATAGAGAGCAGTGAGGAGTGCATTGGCAGTATCAGGAGGGGTAAGGTGTTTATACTGAATTGATATATAGAGGGCAGTGAGGAGTATATTGGCAGTATCAGGAGGGGTAATGTGATACTGAATTAATATATAGCGAGCAGTGAGGAGTACATTGGCAGTATCAGGATGGGTAATGTGTTTATACTGAATTAATATATAGAGAGCAGTGAGGAGTATATTGGCAGTATCAGGAGGGGTAAGGTGTTTATACTGAATTAATATATAGAGAGCAGTGAGGAGTATATTGGCAGTATCAGGAGGGGTAAGGTGTTTATACTGAATTAATATATAGAGAGCAGTGAGGAGTACATTGGCAGTATCAGGAGGGGTAAGGTGTTTATACTGAATTAATATATAGCGAGCAGTGAGGAGTATATTGGCAGTATCAGGAGGGGTAATGTGTTTATACTTAATTAATATATAGCGAGCAGTGAGGAGTATATTGGCAGTATCAGGAGGGGTAATGTGTTTATACTGAATTAATATATAGCGAGCAGTGAGGAGTATATTGGCAGTATCAGGAGGGGTAATGTGTTTTTATACTGAATTAATATATAGAGCGGAGTATATTGACAGCACCTGGAGGGACTGTCAATGTATAATGTGTTTATACTGAATTGATATATAGAGAGCAGTGAGGAGTATATTGGCAGCCTCAGGAGAGGTAATGTGCTTATGCTGAAGTCATATTTAAAGGGGCACTGCAGTGACCAGCACAACTACAGCTTAATGTAGTTGCTCTGGTGTCTATAGCCTGTCCCTGTAGGATTTTTTTATGTAAACACTGCCTTTTCAAAGTGTCCAACTTGTCTGGTTACAATTACATGTTTGTTAGTCCACCCATTGTAAAGCATTTAGGAATTTGTTAGCTCTGTATAATAAGTGGTCATGGTGCCTTTTTAGTACCCCTTTAATTTTGTGGTTTTATTTCTTGTTTACATGTCCGACCAGGGCTGGTGTTTAGTGCATGTAGTGTGGTGTTGAATATAACTTTTCTCTCTCTCTTCTCTCTTGTGTATAAAAAGTGACTGATTGTTCTGAATAGGGGCAGCGTCACCAATTGAATGCGCCTGTTGGTTTCCATGGTGACTGCTCCACATTTAGGTTTTTAGACCACGCAAACATTTTAAGCTACTCCCTATCGGTTTTCTATACCGAACCCGTACTGGGTTAATGTGGTTTGGGCTGCATTATTTAATTGATTTACTAATGAAACCATCAATCTTTGCTTAATTTTATGTAGGATCTTCCACCTCCTTCCCCACCCCTCTATTTATTTTATTATTTCTTTTCTTTCTTTTTTTTTAGAAAGTGTAACACTTTATTCAGATGTGTGCTTTTATTATCTACATTAACTTGTCTTGTTTTATCTATCTATGATCTATGTTAACTTTTTGTCTTATCTTCTATTATCTATGTCTTTTTATTAAATGAGTGGATTGAACTGTTGGCTTCTACAGTTTATCTGATCACAGCAGTCATACCCATTCGTGTTATCAAACTTTATGATTAAGGAGGGCAGGGCCTGACTACCCACCAAAATAGTAGCATGTAGCTGGTGCTTCTCAAGGAATGCCTGAAACTCAGCCTTTAACCCTACAAAACCACACTTATTTTTTGCCAGTACTTTTCTCTATTCATTGGAGAATACCAGACTGAGCATTTTAAATTCTATTTAAAGGACCACTATAGTGCCAGGAAAACATACTCGTTTTCCTGGCACTCTAGTGCCCTGAGGGTGCCCCCACCCTCAGGGACCCCCTCCCGCCCGGCTCTGGAAAGGGGGAAGGGGTTTAAACTTACCTTTTTCCAGCGCTGGGCGGGGGAGCTCTCCTCCTTCTCTCCTCCTCCGTTCCGCCCCGTCGGCTGAATGCGCACGCGCGGCAAGAGCTGCGCGCGCATTCAGCTGGTCGCATAGGAAAGCATTTACAATGCTTTCCTATGGACGCTAGCGTGCTCTCACTGTGAAAATCACAGTGAGAAGCACGCAAGCGCCTCTAGTGGCTGTCAATGAGACAGCCACTAGAGGATTAGGGGTTTCTCTGAAACTGCTATGTTTATTAAAAATGGGTTAACCCTAGCTGGACCTGGCACCCAGACCACTTCATTAAGCTGAAGTGGTCTGGGTGCCTAGAGTGGTCCTTTAACTGGACGTACAGGGTATTTCCAGAGTTAGCCTCCTCGGCGGCCTGCAGATGTATTTGAGGTGGAGGAAGCAGCCTACTCTCAGCCCTTTATCAGCTCCAAACTGTCTTTGGCCCTGTTCCTTTTGGACTGGTGGAAGATATCCCAGTCATCACTACATCTGCAGCCCAGCAAAGTTGGCAGATTGAGGCCTTCTATTCAAGATGACCACTTATCTGGGGTCTGCTTTACAATATTCCTCCACGATAACCTCCCACCTGTACCCGCTTACTCAAGCCTTTGATCGGTTATGCTCACAATTTTGGGCTATGCTACACCAGTGAGCGGTTGGTCCTGCATCTACGCTCTACGCCAGATGTTTCACGACTTCACCTCCATTACGACACAATGGAGCAAAGGTTACGCCAAATGTGCCCAGAAAAGCACCATGAGAGGTGAGACAGGAGAAGAAACAGAGGTTGATGCCGAAATTCCCGTTCCCAACTTCGCCAACACTCACCTGGGCCAAGCCCCCACGCAGAGCTCACACCTTCAGGATGGCGGCATTCAGTGGGAAGATCCTGGTTTGTTTTTATTTGAGCCATAACGCTTGTTTATGGTAACCAAGTGGTATTTTCTCTTTGTTTATTTTTATCTTACAATCATATGATCCTTTATGTTCAGGTATAGCTGTAATCTGCAATCCATGGTAATAAGATTACGCATCTACTGCTGATTTCATATATACCTCCTTTCTAAACTTTTACAAACACTCTTATTTCTCTGTTAAAATGAGGCGACAATATTGTCTGCAAAACTTGTTATAATCACACAACCAATGCTGACACAACAGTTGCAGTGTCTACTTGTGCGTTATTGTATTTTCCTCAATAAAAACTAAAATTACAATAAAACGTACAAATCTCTTATGAATAGATTAAACAAACAAAAATAAACATATCAAATTACTGGGATGTGACTGTTTACCTTTTAATTTGCTTTTAGAGTTGAGCGAACTCGAACTGTAAATTTCGGGTTTGTATCGAACATTACGATTTTTTGACCCCGAACACGAACCCGGACATTTCAGTAACAGTTCGGGTTCGAGTTCGGCGATTTAATGGCGCGTTTTGAAAAGCTCCAGGGCAGCCAATCAACAAGCGTTTGACTCGTGAGCCCTAAGAAGCCATCACATCCATGCCTACTAATGGCATGGCTGTGATTGGCCAGTGCAGCATGTGACCCAGCCTCTATATAAGCAGGAGTCACATGAGCTCTTATTAGTGTAGGGAGAGGATGCTGCAGCTGTGAGGGACAGATTAGGAAAGAATTCTGGTGTTAAATCTGCAAACTACAGCGATTTTATTTTTGTGGGTGCTATACTACAGTTTTGTACCCTGCCCTGAGCCCAGTGCCACAGAGAAATAAGCAATCAGTCTGTTTGTTAGGTGGGCCTCGGCGGACATTTTTGCAAGTGCAGTGCACTTGCAACTGCATGTGTGCCAGGCACATTACTTTAATGTACCTGGTAGCTCAGTGGGCAACATCTAGGCATTTTTAAATACTGCTGTGACATTGCAGTTTGACAAATTCACATTTTTCTGGTGCTAAAAAGTAAATTTGGGGCGTGCACTTTATATCTGAGAGTCAAATAGAACCGTCAAATACTGCTGTGACATTGCAGTTTGACTAGTTCACATTTGTTTTGGTGCTAAAAAGTAAATTTGGGGTGTGCACTTCATATCTGAGAGTCAAATAGAACCGTCAGATACTGTGGTTACATCACACTTTGACCAATTCACCTTTTTTTGGTACTAAAGAGTAAATTTGGGGCGTGCACTTCATATCTGAGAGTCAAATAGAACCATCAAATACTGTGGTTACATCGCACTTTGAAAAATTCAATTTTTTGGGGTGCTAAATAGCACAGATGCGGCCTGCGGTGCATTTCTTGCAGTCCAATAAAACCCTTAAATACTACTGTTACATTGTTGGTTTAAAAAAAAATCACAGTTTTTTTTTGTGCTAAATAGTACATTTCTTGCAGTCCAATAAAACCGTTTAATACTACTGTTACATTGTTGTTTGACAAATTCACATTTTTTTGAGACAGTGAAGTAACTGTATTAATTACGCCTGTCACACTGTTGTGTGATCTCTAGAAATTTTTTCTCTTTAGGACACCGGCACTGCCTTACTGTCAGTGAACTTAATTGTTGACTATTGGCGGTTACATTGCCGCCTGACAACCATCTGTTAGTTTGGTGGGTGAACGCAAAGAATGAGGAGAGCGTCAAATAAGGGACGTGGCCCTGGTCGTGTTGCTGCTGGTGATGGTGGAGTTCCTGTTGCAGGGAGAGGACGTGGTTGATCTGTGCCAGCTACATGCACAAGTGAAACACCTTCCTCAGGTGCGATTAGGCGACAGAACCTTCTGCGTTATTTGGTAGGCCCGAATGCCGCTCTATGAATGGTGAGGCCAGAACAAGTACAGGCAATAGTAGATTGGGTGGCTGACAGTGCCTCCAGTTCCTTGACATTGTCTCCCAACCAGTCCCCTGCTGAAAGTTCAGAGTTGGCACCTGCAGCCCATGGCCATCTGTCTTTCACCTCACCCACTTGCAAATCAGCCAAGCAGTCTGAGCCACAGGTCATGCTGCAGTCTCTTATGCTTTTTGATGACTCTGCTGCCTGAGTTTTCGTGGGCCATCCACCTAGCCTTGCCCCAGAAGTGGAAGAGATTGAGTGCACTGATGCACAACCACTTATGTTTCAGGATGTGGACATGCGAGGACCACTTCAGCACATCTCTGATGATGACGAAACACAGGTGCCAACCGGCAAGGAGGGCATGGTTGAGGAGTGGGTGGAAGATGATGTGGAGGATGATTAGGTCCTAGACCCCACATGGAATCAAGGTCATGCGAGTGCCGTGTGCCATTTGGAGGAAGAGGCGGTGGTCTCACAGAGGCACCAGCACAGCATAAGAGGGAGCAGAGTGCAAAAGCGGAGCGGCCATCCCATAGACAGTACGCCTGCTACTGCCCACTGCACCCTTGGACCGAGCACACCAAAGCCATCTCCAAGGAGTTCCCTGGCGTGGCATTTCTTCAGACAATGTGCTGACGACAAGACATGAGTGGTTTGCACGTAGTGCATTTAGAGCCTAAAGCGAGGCATAAACGTTCTAAACCTGAGCAAAACCTGCATGACCAGGCATCTACATGCAAAGCATGAGCTGCAGTGGAGGAAGCACCTCAAAAACCAAGAAAGGTCTCAGGCTCCTCCTGCTTCCTCTTCTGCTGCTGTCTCGGCCTCTTCCTCCACCTCTGGAGTGAAAGTGGCACCTGCCACCCCGCAAACAGAGGATGTGGCAGCAACGTCACCACGTCCGCCATCGTCCCCAAGCATCTCCACACTGTCCCATGGAAGCGTTCAGCTGTCCATCTCCCAAAAACTGAAGAGAAAGAGGAAGTACCCCCCTACCCACCCGCGATCCCTGGCCCTGAATGCCAGCATTTCAAAATTCCTGGTCTTTGAAATGCTATCATTCCATCTGGTGGAGACAGTCAGTTTTAAAAACCTGATGGCGGTGGCTGACCCACATACGTGGTTCCCAGCCGCCACTACTTTTCCAGGCGAGCCATCCCTTCCCTGCACAACCAATTGTCGGACAAAAATCAGGTGTGCACTGCGCAACGTCATCTGTGGCAAGGTCCACATAACCACTGATACGTGGACGGTAAGCACAGGCAGGGACGCTATATCTCCCTAACTGCACACTGGGCAAATGTAGTGGCGGCTGGGTCTGAGGCGGATAGCAGTTTGGCGCATGTCCTTCCGCCGCCGAGGATTGCAGGGCATTTCTCTTTGCCTCCTGTTGCCTCCTCCTCCTACTCTGCTTTCTCCTCCTCTACCACCTCCTCATCCGGTCAGCGTAACACCTTCACCACCAACTTCAGCACAGCCAGGGGGAAACGACAGCAGGCTGTTTTAAAACTCATATGTTTGGGGGAAAAACCTCACACCGCGCAGGAGCTGTGGACGGGCATGGAACAACAGACCGATGAGTGGTTGTTGCCCCTGAGCCTCAAGCCCGGCCTGGTGGTGTGCGATAATGGACGAAATCTCGTAGCAGCTCTGGGCCTAGCCGGTTTGACGCACATCCCTTCCTGGCGCATGTGCTGAATTTGGTGGTGCAGAAATTCCTGAAAAACTACCCAGATATATCAGAGCTGCTGCAGAAAATGCGGGCCATCTGTGCGCACTTTCTGCGTTCTCACCCTGCTGCTGCTGCTCGTCTGTCTGCGCTGCAGCGTAACTTCAGCCTTCCCGCTCACTGCCTCATATGCGACGTGCCCACAAGGTGGAACTCCACCTTGCACATGCTGGAGAGACTGTGCGAGCAGCAGCAGGCGATAGTGGAGTTTCAGCTGCAGCACGCACGGGTCAGTCACTCTGCGGAACAGCACCACTTCACCATCAATGAGTGGGCCTCCATGCGAGACCTGTGTGCCATGTTGCGCTGTTTCGAGTACTCCACCAACATGGGAAGTGCTGATGACGCCGTTCTCAGCCTTACTATCCCGCTTCTATGTCTCCTTGAAAAAACGCTTCAGGCGATGATGGAAGAGGATGTGGCACAGGAGGAAGAGGAGGAGGAAGAGGGGTCATTTCCATGGTTATTAGGCCAGGCATTCACAAGTGGCTCAGAGGGTGGTTTCCTGCACCAGCATAGGCCAGGTACACAATTGTCCAGCCAGGGCACAGTTCTGGAGGATGAGGAGGAGGAGGAGGAACCGTGTTCACAGCAGGGTGGCACCCAACGCAGCTCGTGGGCATCACTGGAGCGTGGCTGGGGGGATACAGAGGACACAGACGATACACCTCCCACAGAGGACAGCCTGTCCTTGCCTCTGGGCAGCCTGGCACTCATGAGGGACTACACGCTGCTGTGCCTGCGCAACAACTGCCAAGTTGCCCACATTCTAACTTGTGCTGATTACTGCCTATGTTTAGTTATTGTTATAGATAAAGGGATCATTCTGAACAGGTATGACCAATGTGGTAGAATATATGATTTGATGATATTTATTCTTCCCAACCAGGAAATTCGTATGTTTCTCCACTCTTTGAGTAATTTATCACTGGTATCTTTTATAAGATTATCCACATTTTTATCGATCATTTCTTTTAAGCTATAAGAGAAATGAATCCCAAGATATTTAAAACCTTGTGATGACTAAGTGAAGGGATATTTAACTGATAATCTATTAATTGTCGTAAAATCTAAATTGATGGGGATAATTTTGGATTTACCAATATTTAATTTATAGTTTGAAACTCTACCATAGTCTTCCAACTCCCGAAACAAGGCCCCTAGTGATATATCCGGATCAGACAATGTTAATATTATGTCATCAGCATATAGGCTGATCTTAAATTCAGAATGATTCAGAATAACTCCTTTAATTTGATAGTTGTTTCTTATGCTCACTGCGAGCGGTTCAAGAGTCAAAATATATAAAAGCGGGGCCAGGGGACATCCCTGCCTGGTCCTGTTAGAAATTGTAAACCAAACTGCGGAGATGCCAGGGCCCACGGTTTTAGTCGTTGGACTAGAATAAAGAGCCATTATTGCAGTTTTAATGGAGCCAACAAATCTAAATTTGTCCAGAGTCTGGTTCATAAAACTCCAGCTGACCCTGTCAAACGCCTTCTCAGCATCTAGTGACAGGGCCAGCATAGGGATCTTGCTCCTTGTTACATAATCAATCAGGGCAGTCAATCTTCATGTGTTATTACTTGGATCTCTACCCTAAACAAAACCTATCTGGTCGTGATGAATTAAAGATGCAATAATCGATTTTAGTCTATTTGCAATGACAGCAGAATAAATTGTAATATCTGAGTTTATAAGAGATATAGGCAGATAATTAACCAGATTAGTTGGGTCCTTATCAGATTTTAATATCGGTGAGATATTAGCCTGTAATAATTCTTTCAAAGGGAGACCCTATTCTCTAATCTCGTTAAATGTATCTACTAGATGTTGCAATAGCTCATTTTTAAATTTCTTTAAAAAACAATTAGTATACCCATCAGGACCTGGGGCTTTATTCAGCTTAAGCCTGTTAATTACCAGACTAACCTCAGATTCAGAGAAAGGTAAGTTTAACTCTTTCTGCTGGCCATCTGTAAGAGTTGGCAATTTAATCCCATCCAGATATTCAGATATATCTAATTCCTGGGGGCTGGAGGAGAGATTATAAAATTGTGCATAGAATTTATTAAAGTCATTATCTATTGATTTTGGGTCATTATAACTATGATCTTTTTGAATCTCGATCTAGCTTTTCTATTTTTTAGTCTATTGGAAAGCATTTTATCAGCTTTGTTGCTTTTATGGTACCAATTCTAATTTAGCTTTTGTAGAGCGAAATTCACTTTTGCCAATAAAGTAGTATTGATCTTCTTGGATATTTCTGATATTTGTTGATCGAACTCCTTTGTAGGGGAGATTTTATTAATTTTTTTAATTTAAATTATAGAATTCAAGGTATAGTTAATTTAAAGATAGGCCTTGTTCCCCTTTTTTTTTCAGACCCCAATTTAATTATATAACACATTATTACACTCTTAAAGGCACACCATAAGATTTGCTTTGAGATTTCTTGTGTCCTATTTTCTTTATAGTATAATTTAATCCTCTCCGACATGTAATCAATAGTTTAAGAATCAGAAAATAATCTCTCATTCAGCCTCCATTGTGATCGTGGTTCATTAGCATCTAATCCTATTTCCATATATATGATATCCTCAATTTTAATTAGGTAACATTGTTGAATTAACTGTAATTTAACCAAAAAGTAATCTATTCTAGAATATGACAAGTGAGGTTTAGAGTAAAAAGTGAACTCTTTTCATCAGGATGTTTTACTCTCCACATGTCATATAGATTAAATTTAGATATGACATTCTGCAGAACCAATTTTTTAATGATATTTTGTTGTTTCCTTTCTTGTGGAACCTTTTTATCCATTGATACATCTACCACACAGTTAAGGTCTCCTCCAACTATAAAGGACCCCTGTACCTTGTTTTCAAACTTGTTTAATATGTTATTAATACATTTTTCTGGTTGTTTATTTGGAGCATATATATTGAGCAGTGAGTAGATTTCCCCCTGCAATTCACAGATCAAGAACACATATCTGCTATTCTTATCCACTTCTCTATATAGTTCTTTGTAAGTTACATTCTTTGAAATAAAAATTGCAACTCCTCTGTTTTTAGAGCTATAATCTGAGGAGACAAGAGTTGGATAATAGAAACTTTTCATTTTTGAGTTTTTTTGAGTAATTTTCTTTTTCCATAAATGATCTACTAAAAGCTTACGTTTCTGTGGAGTATTCAAACCCTTAACGTTCAAAGTTATAATCCTAATCTTATTCCCCTCTAACATTAATCCTCCCTATGCTACGTAATTCCTCAGGTTGGCCACGCACAATCCGCTCAACATATAAGACAAATACAACCATATAACAAAAAAAACCTCAAAGGGTTTAAAAAAAATGACTCTTGAAAAACCCTTACGAGCGTCATTGTCCCAAATAGTGTGTCTTACCCCCTTTCCCTTGCTAGACACTTTTCCCGTCAGCTCTTCTATCAAGAGCTGTACTGTAGGGCAACGGAATGCAGATATTTTTTTTAAATTTATAAAGAAAACATTTTCTTGTACGCATTGATTCTTCTTTCTTACTTTAATAAACTTTTTCTAGACTTTCTTAATTTCATTTCATGTGCATTTACTTCTTTATTTAAGATAATTTAACGTGTCCATATTCTCCTTGTTAATTTATGTGCAAATCAAATATTTCCTTATGACCTATTCATATTAGCAGATATTTAAAACCCCCCTTTTTTTCCTCTTTCCTTTCTCCTTTCTTCCTCTTTCCTTTCCCTTTCTTTAAAATGAGCGTGGTCACATATATAGTATGATTTGCAATTAAATTTAATGTTCCCTATGACATTTTTTTTCTCTTTTTTTTCCCCCCCTTTCTTTGTTCTTAATCTCAACCAATTTGAACATATACACTTAATTACTTTTATCTTTCCTCGATATAGTTATTAATCGTGAGGGCCCCAAAGCTGTAGAACAATACTCTTGTCTTTCTCTCTCCACCTATCTAATTGCAACCTTCTTGTTTCCCCTATTTTATTCTATCCCCCTAGTGAATAGTTATGCTATTTATTCTACAATATTAATACACATTCATCCATTATTAAGCATAAGTAAATATCAAAATTAGTTAAACGTACTCGTGAGTATATCCCAACATTTAAATTGTGTGAATATTATATTTGAACTATAATGTTTAATAGATATTGCATTATCTATCCATTCTAGCAAACTTAGTCAAACTTTCTATCTTTGTGCAATTTCAATTAAACTATAAAAAAATCCCATATGAGTTTTATTTCATTATTTTTTACCCATTATTGTAAATATCTAAATTCTTTTATTCCATTATCTCCACTCCCTATCCATACCCTATCCCTCTCATCATATGTCTACTCCCTACCCCTCCCTCTTCTCTTACCCCCTCTCGTCCTTATCTTATCCCACCAACTCTATTTCGAATTTTATCAAGTTTATAAGAGTGCCAACTTTAATCATTTTGTCTGGTTCATACTTGTACATATTTGTGAAACCATTATCAATAGTGATTCTATGAAGTGCATTTATCATAGAAGGGGATAGGTATACTAAATTAACTATACTTTATAGTAGGGAGGAAAGAAAAACATAAGCAGAGCAATAAATAAGTTTTAACTATTGAGACTTTACATTTTGCCATTATCATCATTAAGGAAAAAATTTGTTTTGACTTCTGCCAAGAAGTGGCTTTTTGGGCAGAATCAAACATAATGGAGGAGTTCTCATAGTGAACAACCAATTTTGCTGGGAAACCCCAACTATATTTTTATGTTGTTATTTCTTATAGTGGTGGTAGTCTCATAGAAAGATCTTCTAAATATTCTAGTGGATCTGGACAAGTCTGGGAAACATCTTAAGTGTTGGAATTTCTTTGGGAATGCTGATACATCTCTGAAAGCTTGTGAGAGTAGTTCTCTGTGTTTGTAAGACCTTCCTGATGTTATAGTCACTGGGTATTGCCACGTCCACCACCATTGCAGTCTTCTGTTCCTTGCACTCCCCTCCAAATAGCACTCTCCTGGCGGATTTCAAAGTGGTTCAAAACCGCGAACCATGTCGTCCAGGAACTGCACGGTCACCTAATACCTAAAACAGTTCCATAACATTCGCGGCTAAGTCCGACTGAGGTGACCGGAAACCCACAAAGTTCTCATGCTGAAATTAGTTCCAAAGCGGTCACGGCTAATTACCGCTGGGACTATTTGTGGGTTTGGTTCACGCAAACGGCCTCCAGAGAGCCAGCTTTCAGTTCCATTCGCATGAAGGGAAAGTGCCGAACCAGGGGCACACAGGGCAAGCTACTAATGGTGGTTGGGGAGATTTAACTCCAGAACAGAGTCTTTGTATGTGGCCGATAGTTGGCGGGCAGGAGGCCAGCTTCTATGCTCCTCCATGAATTTGTGGCAAACATTCAGGGCAAGTAGCATTTGTCACAGTTCACATTTCCAGCAACTTGTTTGTGCCTCTCAGTATTGCTTTCCCTGCTGACTTTTGCAACTAGTTACTAGATTGTCTCTGAAGTCTTTTTGCACAGTTTACACCTTGGGTCCTGTCTGGTGTGGTAGACCCCCACTTTTATTGGTCTGGTAATGACTACCTTTTCTGCTAGGATTAGTGCTAAGTCTGGTCTTTCATTCCTCCTTTTTCCAGCCACTGGTAAGATTTTGTCATGTGAGCTACATCTGCTATCTGCTGATGGTACATGCCATGGAGAGGCTTTCTTGCCATGGAACCTCCACATGTTTTTGCATTCTCTGTTGCTGCTTAGAAGCTCATCATTTTATAGGAGCCATCTTCATGATGTACTTGTGGATGCTGCTCTGTATCTTATCTGGTCTGGACACTCTTCAGGCCCAGACCTATTTGCTTCTGGCCAGTATACCATCTCTGGGTGGAACTGGTCATGAAACGATCAAGTCTAGAACTTAGGTCACACCTAGCTTAAGTAGCAATTTAGAATAAAAAGATGCATCATAAGTGGCTGGGCAGAACAGAGAGAAATGAGAAGCCATCTGAATATAAAGTGAATGAATAGTCTGTGTACAAGCTGAAAGACCGGTAAATGGGTCCTATGTGACTAATATCGTTCTGACTTGAGTTATCCTGCCAGGTTGAAAGCCTGTTGTTAGTAGTTGGTAAATTTGTGCTGCTTAGCATTCAAGATCATGCAGTTGTCTGCTTTCAGGTCTAGTAGCCCCTAGACCTTGGTGCTATGTGGTGGTTCTTACTCTCAAATGTTCTTCCAGTACTGTTAAGTCTAAGCTCTAGGTGGGTCTGTGGGCAGTCCAGCATTTTCCAATGATCTTTCATAGTCTTGTCCGGTGGTTAAATACGGTCAGTTTTTCTTTGTTTGATTTGTTTTTGGTCCCCCTCCATCTTTTGTCTGCAGCTACACCATTTTGGGAAACCGTTGCAATAAGTATAGGTTCTTCATGGCGCATGCATGTTTTTTTGTGTAGTCTTTCTAATTCCAGTTGTGAAACCAATTTTCTCTTGACATTCTGTTATTTGCTGTAAATGTAGGTTTATTTTTTTGTGTGTTAGTTTTTTATTTATTTTATTCATCGACCTATGTTTCATGTAGCCCCTCATTGGGTCTGCTGTTGCAGTAGCAGTTAAGCAGGTCTAGACTCTCATTTCATGTTTATGTGTGACCTCTACTTCTCTATCTCAAAAAAATTACACCTTATACCTTGATATATATGGAGGCCCTCAGTCTTGAATATACATTGTCAAACAAAGATCTGCACACACCAGTCAAGCCAAAATAACTTGCTTTTCCCACAGAAATTTTACATTTACAATGCTGTTACCACTGCAAGGGATTCTAGGTGGGCATATGCAAATGAGTTCAACAAAGAATCCCAGTTTATGCTTGCTATATACAACCGCTTTGAAACACAACTCAGGAAGAGATGCAAAGCCAGTGAGCCACTCATGGACAGCTGTTTCGTTGTTAATGCAACTCATCAACAAGAGGTTGCATTAACGTTACTTGTGGAGCACAAACCAATGTTTGGGTGAGGAAAAAAGTTCACATACACACACACTCACACTCTCTTTCTCTCATTTGGTAGAAAGCTATGCTTTTAAAATATTGTCATCCAGTAGGTTTGGACATGACTTGGACATTTAGGACAAAACGTGGAGAAATAAGGTCTTCTCTTGAATATGTGGGACATCTCTCTCCAATGTGAATAACTTGGCCTGAAGTCAATTGTTAAACCCTTTATTAAGCTTTTCATATTTTTAAAAACTAGAATTTTCCTGGCATGCGGTGGCGCTTACAGCTGTCACTAAAAAGACAAAAATAGCTTTGATAGTCCTCAAAACCGAAAACCCAAATGAGTATTAATAGCCTTCCGCTATGTTAATAATGTTTGGCATCGTGTTCAAGCTGCTTTAATCAGACCCTTGATAAACCACTGGAGCCTGACAGAAAAAAATATGTGTATCCCAATTTCAGCAGAACGGTCCTGTCCTGAGAGGAGAAATTGCACCAAAACAGTGTTTCTCATACTTCTCCAGGCAGCAATGGATAAGTCTAAGAAGCTTACATAGTTACATAGCTGAAAAGAGACTTGCGTCCATCAAGTTTTGATTGCAAGTGTTGTTGTTGGGAGGGGAGGGAGAGAGCAAGTTTGGGTTAATATAGCAGGTGAGGGGTTAATGCTGTAAGTTTGGGTCAATAAATCAGGTATGGGGTAAATACTGCAGGCGTGGAGTTTATAAATATACGTTTATATGATACTGTGAATTAATTTAATGATTTGCTGTCATAATGTGATACGTAGAACATTTTACGGGTGGGGTGGGGTGGGGACAGGGCTTAGAACTGTCCACTTGGCATGGTCCCTGCTCAGAAGAAAGCATTGACTGAAAGCCGCTGATTGTTAATGTTCTTCTTTGTTTAGGAACCATGAGTGGTATGTGTGGACTCCGTGTCATGCTCCCTCTCAGCCTGGTTATGCTGGTGTTCTGCTCCACTGGTAAGCTTTTAATGCATATTCGTATGAGACGTACTCCAGCTATAAATGTGCAACATTTGTACAGTTCAACCCATTGCTTTGATCCATTGTTTCCACACTCAGGGGTGACTGTTTCCAAATCGCTTGCCCCATAATTACTATATGGTTATTGTGCTTAGAGTCCCTTTAAATAAGCTTTTCCCCTACCTGATGTCCACTCATTTTGGCCTCTTTGTTCCAGTGCAGAGACTGGAACAGAGCTCCTAAACGAGTGAGATAAAAATATTAGCAAGTCACAAAGGGTTCCGTGTCTATCTAATCTACCCCTACATTGTCCCTATTTATCCATTTGTCTGTCCTTTGTCAGCCATCCCCATGGAGTGTTGCTATGTGCTATGAAAACATCAAGTGACACCAGATGCTCTGTGCAGCTTTGAATTTAAAAAAAAGACTGTCTAAAATAACTGCATTCCAGTTGTTTAATTCTCTACCTCTCGTATTGTCTATTAAATATTATACACACTCACACACATGCACGTAGGTGGACTTTATTTACTAAATACTAAATCAGTGATGGCGAACCATTTTTGAGCCCGAGTGCCTAAACTGCAATACATACAACCGCCACTTTTTTTCCCTCAAAGTGCCAACACTGCATTTAAACCTGAATACTGAGGTTTAAGTTTAGAAAAAAGAACTCATACAGTTGTCCAAACTAATTCTCCTCTTCTCTCCCCAGCATCTTCCCTTCTCTAAACACAGCATATCCCCTCCTCCCACTAGCATCTCCTCCTCCTCTCCCCTTCTTCCCCAGCATCTCCTTCTCCACCCAGCATCTCCTCCTCATCCTCCCCCAGCATCTCCTCCTCATCCTCCCCCAGCATCTCCTCCTCATCCTCCCCCAGCATCTCCTCCTCCTCCCCTCTCCTCCCCTTCTTCTCAGCATCTCCTCGTCCTCCACCCAGCATTTCCTCCTCCTCCCCCAGATTATCCTCTTCCTCTCCCCTTCTCACCCAACATCTCCTCCTCCTCTCTCCTCGCATCTCCTCCTCCTCCTCTCTCCCCAGCACGTCCTCCAACTCCTTTCCGATCTCTGGTTCAGTGTGAAACCTAGTATATCTGTTTGTTTGCATAGGTCTGGCCTTGATGTGTTATAACTGCCAATCGTATAGCAGTGAGCAGTGTGAGCAGAAAATGACGTGTCCATCGACCCAAAACGCCTGTCTTAAAATCACAACAGGTATGTGTTTTTACAGGATCGAAGTGATGTAACGTTTCTTTATTATCCTTTTCCAAATGCCTTTTTGTGTGTATTTGTGTTACTCAAAACACACACACATATATACATGGATAAATCCAAGGTGCTTGCACTCCGGGTGTAGTGCCCAGTGCAAATCCAGCAAAAATCATAGGTATCCAGAAAACGGAATGCACTCCAGGGTCTTTGTAAAATAAAATATAACTTTTAATTCATATTCAAAATAAAATTAACATCAACGTTTCGGCTCACATCTGGAGCCTTCTTCAGGATGGCAAATACCACATGACATAAAAATTAAATGCTCACCATTAATAAGTGTGTGTAGGACTGAAACCGCCAAAATGCACGAGAAGAAAGCAGAACAAATCATACAACAGGGTGGAGACAGTAAGAACTTACTCCTACAAAGATAAGAACTCTTGATACAATTTGGCCTAAAGGACTTAATGAGAAAATTTCATTTGCTATGTTCCTTTAAATATATCAGATTCTTAACACAGTGGTGTCAATAAGACTTAATGTGAAATAAGTCAACTTGCCATGTCCCTTTAAAGACATCAGGTTTTTAATACATTTTGACATGTTCCTTTAAATTTATTAGGTTTTCAATACTATGGGATGCATCGGACTCAATATGAGAATGTATAATTCAACTTGCCATGTCTTTTTAAAACTCAATAGGTTTTCAATACATGCTGATCTTTCTATTGCACGCATACTTGCTCGTTTTTACCATATGAACAACTTTTGTATTTGGCTTTATGGGGGTTGTAGTTCCATGGGTTTGTGCACTTTTTGCAAATCCTTGGTACCCTCTCCCATTTAAGACTTTTTGACTTTTTTCTATTTATCTAAGACAGTTCATCTATCTGCATATTATTACAGATGTGTATACACCTTTTAAGAGTTCATAGGGTAGCAGACATCCTTTTCTTTTTCTTTAATTTGCCTGCTTAGTTTGTTTTTTCCTCTCTCCTTATTCTGAGCCCTTTACTCTAATACTGATGCCTTAGAATGTATCCAATGTAGATTTATCGTATAGCTAATTGCAGAACTGAAACAATCTTATCGTCTTCCAGTATCTATTTGGTCATTACGCTCAGCTTGCAAACATGGTTACTGTTTCCCTTCTCTAACATGTTCGGTCTGTTTTAACGTTTTTTCACTTTCACTTGGTGTGTTAGCAATGATAGGGAGCTCTCCCGGTATTCAGCACCTTGGGCTGGCCGAGGATGATTGCCCCTAGAATCCCCTACTGCATCTTTGTGTGCAGCTAGTGGTAGGGAGCTTCCCCAATTTACAGCACTGTATGCTGGCTGAGGATAATTGCCCTCAGAATCCTCTACCGCATTAGGAGCCTATCGGCAACAGAGAAGTAAGTTCTAGCACAATCCACGTGAGAACTGATCTGTGTATCGGCTGTACGATTTGTTCTGCTTTTTTCTCGTGCATTTTGGCGGTTTCAGTCCTACACACACTTGTTTATGGTGAGCATTTAATTTTTATGCATATATATATTTTGTTTGTTATGTATGTAATGTTGTATTTGCCATCCTGAAGAAGGCTCCAGATGTGAGCTGAAACGTTGATGTTAATTGTATTTTTATTTTGAATATGAATTAAAAGTTATATTTTATTTAAGACCCAGGAGTACATTCCGTTTTCTGGATACCCACATATATACATACATACAATGCCAAAATGCCAGAGTATTACAGTATTGCTATGATGCCTATTTTGTTGGACGCACATAATATTTCAAAGACAAGCTTTCGAGAGTTTTCCACTCTTCTCAGGTCTGAAGCAAACAGGCTTGTCTTTGAAATATTATGTTAGTCCAATATAAAAGGTATCATTGCATACTGCAATACTCTGGTATTTTGGCATCTTGTCTACTAGACTAATATGGCTAATCCAATCTAAGTTATATATTCATAATTTCATTATTATTTTATTTATTTATTTTTCCTCGACAGACCGCTTCTTTACATTTTTAAATATGACTTGCCCTCAAAACTGTCCCCAACCTATGTATAAAAGACAACTTGAACCCTTTGTCTTTGCCTGTGCCTGTCTCTCATAAGGACAGGGTATGTAGCTCCAGGTTGCTGGTAGACCTGCACAGGCTGTGATCCATGGGCCATATATATGTGTAAAACGAAAAAGAGAATTTAATCACAATTGCTCACAAGATTAATGTAGCCACAGCTACTACTCTTTGTCCTCTGCTGGGTCCATTAATACACAAGATGTGGTCTTCATAGAAGAGGCATCTGAGGTTACCAGATATTGAGACACTTGAAATCCCTATTTGGATAATTTAACCATGATGAATGAAGCGCAATGTTGACTTAAATCTAAGTTATCAAAAACAATCTATTTCTTTCCAACAACGATTCTTAAAGAGAAACATACAGATAGTCCATGAATCACGTTTAATGTGTTATAGAAATAATTTTTTTAAATTTAATATTCAGGTGTTAATATAATCCTCTTCTTCCATTGCGTATACATATGCTGTTATCAGGAGTTCACAGTTGCCATTGTGAACACAATGGCTACCTGGGCATGTGACCCCCCACTTTGAGGTTTTATTTTTTTCTACAAAAGCCATCACATTTTAGTGTATGTACAGGATTATAATATAACTTTTACGGCAACCAAAAATCATCTATTAGGCAAGTGATTTCAATTGTGATAGCAATCACTTGCTACCTAGTGGGGCCTAGGCTCCATCGGGGTTTGTTTCATGAAACACATGATGTGATACAAAAAGTCCTCTGATCAGGGGGATTCCCCCTTGTCAAAATCTGAAACCAGAAAATGTATGTGTGTTTATATCCCGTAAAATCATATCTATTAAAGAAGTATACATTTTAGGAAAAAATGAGATGTCAACATATTTGGAGTTTTTTTGCTTTTTTTTTGTTGTTGTTTTTTTTTTTTTTTTACCTTGTAGTATTTTTACCAGCAATTAAAACTATATATTGTATTAGGATTGGAATTTCTATACACTGTGCCTCATTGTGACGTTTTTCTGTTCTACCCTCAGATGGCAAGTCAAGATTTCAGTGCTGGGAGATGAACAGATGTGACATTCCATCTCTTAAAAATGAATTTCAGCTGAATAAATTCTCTTCTAGTTGCTGCCAGTCCGACCTCTGTAACAGCGGTAGAAACAGCCTGCCTGTTACCTCTTTGGTTCTCAGTTTAGCCGCCGCTATTCTGCTGATATTCTCCTGCTGAGTGTCCAGCTGCCTCTTCTGCAAACTGTTTGGGATCTGATCGCAAGCAAACGTGACCTTCTCTGCTTCACTGGCGAACGAGATGTAACTAAGTATCTACAACCTGCAAAAACATCTTAGTCCATATACCTGTAAAGGCTTTTCTGCAATTGCGTTACGCTTTTCATTTACTGGGTTGGGTCCCAGGTAAACATTAACAAAATGTTTTGTTGTAGTCACTTAAATTATCACTGCCGTCCTTTCCTTATGTTTGATTAATTACACTAAAATAACAATATGATAGAATGTTACTATGCACATACTCACGTGCTAGCGATATATGAATAATGTGCCAAAGTTACAGCAAGCACAGGTGTCTGCCTGTCTAGTTATTCGCTGCGGGCACCCTTGGGATTTAATTTAAGGTGTAATTTTTAATTAATATGTATAACAGGGAGATTAATAAAAAAAATAGTATTGCGACTCCTATAATTTCATGTGGTCAGTGTGGGTTTTTGTCTTGAATTAATTACCAATAGTCTCAGGATTTCCCCCTCTTTCGGTCATCGGCACCTAAGCCTGTTGTGGAGCAGTGCCAATCTGCGCGTATGTGTTGACTTCTGAGAAAGTTGGGGTAATTGTTGTGTTATTGAGACATAGTGCATAAAACACTGAAATGCATAACCCTAAAAAGTATTGAGCAGTAAATCAGGTTTTGCTTCAATGACCCCAGAGCAAAAATTAGGTTTACTGCCCCTTTAAGGTAAAAGTTGATCCTGCATATATAGAGATATTATTATTATTATTATTATTAATAAAATGTTTGTTAGGCAGGGTGTGCTCGTAATGTTTTCCACATCCAGTCCAATAAGTCATTAAATATGAGAGAGAATTCATGGAGTGTTAAAAATATATATATATTTAAAATATATATAATTATTATTATTTTATTTTATTTTTGCTAGTTTCTTTACTAAATTAATCAAATAGGGTCATAATCCTTAGACCGGAAATTGAGACGAAAACGACTGCTTAAAATTGTATCCTGCAATAGCCTAACTGGGGCAATTCTCCAGGTTGCTGTGTTCCTGTTCTCGTCAGTTCTTACTTTGACTGATTAACTGTTAGTAGCCCTCGACAGTGACGCAAATACATTTTTGACACACTGCCATTGGACATGCAATGAAATCTGCTAATAGTCTACAAGCCACTATCTCCTAAGTCACAAGTTGTAGCGAGAGAATTTGTCATCAACTCAGCTTGTGAATCATACTTTATTTTTTTTATGAGTCATCATGGACACTACTGATTTCTGATCGGACTTATTTGAGAAGCCACAGTGTTTCAATGTAAAACTCTGTAAGATGAGTGATTGTTTACATGGTTCTTTAAAGGGACACTCCAGACACCCAGACCACTTCTGCCCATTGGAGTGGTCTGGGTGCTAACTCCCACTACCCTTAACCCTGCAAGTGTAATTATTGCAGTTTTTTATAAACTGCAATAATTACCTTGCAGGGATAACTCCACCTCTAGTTTTCTTTGCAGCAATTCTCCAAGCGTGTTAACCAACTAGTTCCAAGACCCTTATTATTATTATTATTATTATTATTTATAAAGCGCCAACAAATTCTGTAGCGCTGTACAATGGGTGGACTAACACGCACGTATTTGTAATCAGACAAGTTGGACGCACAGGAACAGAGTAATTGAGGGCCCTGCTCAATGAGCTTACATGCTAGAGGGAGTTGGGTATAGTGATACAAAAGGTAAGGGTAGGGTAGAAAAGTAGGTTAAATGAGGGCTTAGTGTTTTGTTTTGATGACAGTTTCAGGAGAGGAATCAGGGTGCGGGGAGGGAAAGCTGTTCACAGTTTATTTCATATGCTTTCCTAAAGAAGTACGTTTTCAAAGATTTTTGGAAGGAGTGGAGATTGGGTGAGAGTCTAACAGAAAGGGGAAGGGAATTCCATAGGAACGGTTCAGCCCTAGAGAAGTCTTCGAGGTGAACATCAGAGGTAGGAGTACGAACAGAGGTTAGACGTAGGTCTCCGGCAGAGCGTGAGGGCCTAGACAGGGATGTATTAGTTTATTATTGAAGATAAGTAGGTGAAAGCAGCATTGTGTAGAGATTTGTAAGCAAGTGTCAGGATCTTAAATTGAGAACTATATCTTACGAGAAGCCAATGAAGGGACTGACAAAGGGGGGAGGTGCAGGCGGAGAGGAAGATGAGCCTCATTCATTATAGACTGTAATGGGGCAAGTTGGGATCACGTAAGATCACTGAGAAGCAGATTACAGTAGTCAAGGCGAGAGAGGTCAGCATCATGGACAAGCACCGAATGCGCGCAATGTTTTTGAGATGGAAGCGGCAGGATTTGGCGATTGAATGGACATAAGGGGTGAAGGAGAGGTCGGAGCCAAAGAGAACACCTAGGCAGCGCCATTGACATGAAAGGGACACAGACAAGGGAGTAGCAACACTTGAGGGAGGGGGACCAGAAGTTCTGTTTTGGACAGGTTCAGTTTAAGGAAGTGAGCAGCCATCCAGTTAGAAATAGCAGAGAGGAGACACGAGTCAAAAGGAGTGGAGAGAGATCAGGAGAGGACAGGTAGATTTGCGTGTCATCCGCATAGACATGATCCTGGAAGCCGAAGGAGCTGATGAATTTACCAAGGGAGGCAGCATAGATAAAGAACAGTAGGGGAACAGTGGGGAACACAAACAGAGAGGGGTTGGGGAGAAGAAGCAGAGCCAGAGAAAGAAACACTGACAGAGCGTTGGGAGAGGTAGGAGGAGCACCAGGAGAGAGCAATATCTTGTAGACCGATATTGCGGAGGATGAGAAGAAGCTGTTGATGATCAACAATGTCAAAAGCCGCAGAAAGATCAAAGAGAATTAGGATAGAGTAATGGCCATGGGATTTAGCAGTGATAAGATCTTTGCATACTTTGGTCACAGCTGTCTCAACAGAGTGACGAGCTCGGAATCCAGATTGAAGCGGGTCAAGCAGAGAGTTGGATTTAAGGCCAGATTTTGAGTTCATCTATAAAGTTAGCATGCAAGACAACACTCTTATTCTTTTCCATATGTTCTCTGAAATGCTATTAAATTTAAAGATTTTAAGTTAAAAACTATTTAGAACGTGGTCCCTTCGCCACCTGTCAATCCATTTAATGTGTAGCTCTGTATGCTGTCAGTTGAGTGACAAGGATAGCAGGAGAACCTCCGAACAAGCATATTTCCTGCTCTTCATTTGTTATTCCTCTAGCAAGCACTTTTAGCTCTTGCTGATTTAAAAATACAAATTGAATAATCGTCTTTCTGTTTTAGCATGGATGGACTTCCATCGAAACCCATAAGCAGGTACAATCATGCCAGAGGTAGATCCGAGCAACACAACTTAAGATATTCTTATTGAAAAAAAGGAAAAACAGAAAATGCTAAGCATAAGAACGAGAACATTGGATAAACCACTTTATAAAGACTGGGGCAAGTGGTGTTGGGCTGGGTAGCAGTCTGTTAACAAGACAGGAATTGAAGCGAGAAGGATAGTAATCAATGCAGGAGTTTGGAAGAGTGCATTGATGATCATAAATGAGTTATTTGGGGAGTCTTTATATTAACACAGGACTTAGGGGAGGGTGGATGGGAAGATAGTGTGTCGTTAGTTGTCCTGTGTGTAAAAGACAGGCTGTAAATAGAAACGATCATAGGGTGAAATGGATACACTTTGGAAAGGGGTCATGCATTGTGAATTTGGTCCCCAGAGTTGAGAAGGAACAGATACAGGCCTGATGACAGAGGTGCCAGGTCTGAAATATTCTCTGTGTACATACACAAAAAAGAATTTAACTAATGAAATGACAATTCAAAAATGAGAATACAGCAGATATCCCAGGTGTACCTTGCAGCAGGTAAGGCAGTCTGTCGAAATGCTGTGTGGAGCTGCAACTGACTAACGTTCTCAAGCACTTCTGAGAGTGTTTTCTGGTAAGTGGCTTGTGCGAAAGAGATTGAAGCTTGCTGTAGTTAAATCAGCATTGTCACCACCCCCCGCCCTCCTCCAAAACAAGTATTTCATAAAGATAAAATTCTACTGAAATTCCACCCCAATAGATATCTTGATACTCTGTGGTTTCCCTCCGCCTGACACGTAAAGAGCTGCATAGAAAACTGCTGCATAGAAGTGTCAATCCCTGGTGAAAGCTGCAGATAATTGGCTTTATCTATGAAGGATCCCACCTTCTCGCAGGATCCTCCATAGTCCTCAGTGCTTTACGCTAGCACATGCACAAGAGTACGGCAGTGATGTCGGCTCCTGGCGAGCCGAAAAAGGCCTGCCTGAAATAGATGGCAGCATCCGCAAGGGACTGGTTCAGGTAAGTTAAACTAACCTGCGGCGATGTCACTGCCAGGAGGATGGGGTCTTTGCAAATTCTGCAACGTCCCCAGATGGTGACAGTGCTGCTTTAAGGTGTGTATCTATATTTAAGAAAGAGAGTCCAAGGAGAAGGCACACAAAGAATATCTCATTAAAATATATCTCACATGTTAACAGAATATATCCCACCTCCATCGGTAAGGCAACACTGTCACTTATTCCCCAAATTATGAACTGTCACAAATTTTAAACAATTTAAATTTTATGGCAAAATGCTAAAACTGAAAACAAAGATTACTTTTTTTTTCCCTTTTTGTTTCTTTTGACCTAAATTGTTCCGTTATATTTGGCAACACAAGAACCACTTATTTGTATCTTATAATTCACTATAGCATGCACTATGCGGTTTGTTGTAGATGGAATTAACCAGTGCAAAGATTTTTGTATAAACAGACATAGGTGCATTTTGTCACCCATTATCCCCTTCCCCCAATAACATTTTTTCTTATTGTTGCCTAACAAAATGTTTTAGGGTTGTGACAGAAAACACTAGATTGTAATAGCAGATAGTATAATGATAACAGATGAAAAAAAGATGTACATTTTCACAAGAATACAAAACATGTGACTTAATCTAATTCAATATAGAATAGCTAAATGTTATTTAGAATGAGAACTCCAATATTTGTTTTGCTAACATTAGATGTAGCGGGTCCCCTCTGTAAGAGATAAAGCCATTTAACTCGGTTTTTCCATAGCTGCCGTCACTCCCCGGCAGAGATTGTAGTTACTGATTATCTCAACAAGTCCAACGTTTCTCCAGTGAGAAGCCCTGAAAGGTTTACTTTGCATGCGTAGTAGTCACCATGCTGTGGCAATCAGCATCTCTTCAGAGAGGCATAATAATGCCTGGTCCTGTAAATATTACAGGACCTTAATAAGATATGTCTGTAGTGACTGACTGATTGACAGCCACTAGAGATGTCCTTAGTGGCAAATGTAAACTATGCCTTTTCCAAGGAAAGGCAATGCTTACATTTGTCAGACCGTGACAATAATTGTATAGAAGGACTCTTTTTATCTATTTGTATGGTATATCACAATAAAAATTGTTTTACAATCAAAATGTATTATATGTATTTTTTATTTTTTGTACTTATCTTATTGA